AACCAGATCATTTAAAAGGAATGCAATCTTAGATTGTCTGCTGGTCGGTTTGCTAGCATTTCAGACATGGAAATCTCTGAAATGACAATATGTTTCCCAAATGGGTGTCCGTAGGTTGTTAAACTAATTATTTAATCGGCTTCTAATTACAATGCCCATGAAGCACGAATATATTTTCCTATGAATCATCACAAGTGCAACTCTATTCCAACCGCTAAATCAAACAGAGATAATGAAAACTTCCTGGCAAACAACTGCATCATGCAGAATATTATAAGAGTACTAAGTTGCAATGATTTAAGCTTTGCTTACCTTTCACCTGTAAACTGTAAACAGCCTTAAGCAGCCTCTTAAAATGGCCTGGTTTTTCAATTCCAAATTTTTTCCTTGCGGACTCCTTGAAATCCTTTTCGGACTCGTTTTTCAACTTTTGAAGTTGCCATGGATGCTTAAATACCTCTGAGAATTCGGAATGATACTGTTCGAGATGGTGCTTTTTCAACCAGCCTTTAATGTTTTCCTGATAACAAAAGTTAATCAAGGAACATCAGCATTCACCATAGGCTTTCGCCCAAGTAAGGATATTTATAGATTTTGTTTCTTCTTTCATTGGCAGTTGGAACAAGATTGCAAAAGCAGATTTTCAGTTATACGTGAATTCTGGAACTTAGAGGAAAATGGTTTTTGAAACGCTATTAATTAGGTTGTATGATGGCGTTTATGAAATCCTTGGATGGGGTTTCACATAACAATAAGAGAGTCTTTCCTAATAAACAGTCCATAGTATAATGACATGGTTGTGAACTCTCAGCTTTTCACCATTGCTCGCTTTTGCACTCTAAAGACGTCATTGGGTTAACTTGCGAAAATGATCGCCTTATGGGTTTCAAAGGTAATCCAATCATTTTTAAACTGTCTTCGAAGGCGCCAAAACGTCGAGTACGATTCTCTCAAGCCATTTTGGCCTCCCTAACTATATAACTTAATGTTAACAACTGAGTTGAAAACGTAAATTGGCCGCCGTAAAGAGTAAAAAAGCTGACGTTTCGAGCGTTAGCCCTTCGTCAGAGCGATTGACGAAGGGCTAACGCTCGAAACGTCAGTTTTTTTACTCTTAACGGTGGCCAATTCACGTTTTCAACTCAGTTGTTAACACTTAATTACCTGCTATGCTCTCTCACGGACGCAGCACCACAATTTCTTTAGAAACTTACCGCCTTTATTCATCTCCCTAATTATGATTCGTTTAGAAAACTTACTGGAATTTTGTGCTTTTTTTTTATGCGCTGGAATCCTCTTGATATGTTCCAGGAGCTCTGAACGATCCCCCTCGTTGATTTCGATTTGCTCAAGATCCTAGCAGATCCAAGAAGGAATGAACGAATTTCTTTGATTTGCACTAATACATGATTTTAACTCGTGTATTCCTGCAGCGATTACAATTTTTCGGGCGCTAATGCCACGCGTTGTTCGGCGGTGAAAAGAAGAGGATATTCGGAGTTTGAGTAGCCAGTGAAAGCCCTCCTATATACAATATCCACTGTTTTAGTATATGTATTAATATAATTTAGATTATCTTTTGAAAAGAGAGAAAATTCAACCCTTTTTATGCTAGTCTGCATGATTATATAGTTTCTTAAAACCTCTCCCCAATAAGCAATTGATTCATGCGCGAGAGTGTGTGTTTTGTCTTACATCATAGTTGCCTCTTCCGCTTAACCATGCCAACGTCAAACTTACTTTCTCCTTTATTCCAACCAAATCGTCAGGAAATTCATATCCATTGTCAAGGAAACGTTTGCAATATTTCTAAGAAGAGAAAAACGCATCAATCAAATACCAAAATCAAAATCACAATCAACTGAACAAATTAAATTAAAAATACTTGCAAGAGACGACAACAGGTCGATAACATGCCAACCACGGTATTTGTCCAAAGACGGTCTACAAAGTGTTTTGATAGATAGGCAAGAGCAATTTTCCTCTTGCAAAATTTGAAACAACGAGAAAAACTACGACCTTTCTACCCCTACGCTAAAAAAAGTTTGAGGGAAATTGACTCATGAGAACTAACGCTCAAAATAGAGGTAACGAATTGGAAAAATTATTTCAATCTTTTAAAATCATTTAAGCTGTAAGTTTTGCAATTCTCGCAAAGCTCCGATTGTGGAATTTACCCCCCGTGTTCAATCAGTTGTGAGTTGCATTCATCATTATAAGTGTCATCCTTGCGAATTTTAGGGTCCATTTCAGTTCACGTTTTTAAATATTTTTATATATCTGAATGATTTGTGTGAGGGTTAATTGTGCATGAAGTAATGTGTATTGTATGACAAATTCTAATTAATTTAAATATTATTTAAGCTCATTTAAGATTTTGTACCTCAAGTTTTATTTCATTCAGAAAATCTTTCAACTGCTTCCCGAGTATGCGTTCGTCATTCGACTTTGGAGGGTACATCGCTTCAAAAGTTCAAATAAAATATTTTGGATAATTATTCAAGTTGATGGTTTAGGAAATAGTGATATAATTTTAATTATGAGTGAAGGTTGACTTAGGACAAAACTTCCCATAATATTGATCAAAACCGCCACCCCTACTGTTTACCGGTATCTTTCCTGGAACTTTAAATCGTTCCTTTTTTTTCATCTTCTAAAGGTCAAAGGTAACCATGAAACTGTTCAGCTTTAACAAAACGATCAAGGTTGTACGTGATATCATTCACACAATAGATAGACTTTTGGTCAAGAAAGAGTAATCATAATTCATACTATCCCGCAATTACTTGACCATTCAGTTTGCCGATTATTTTTGCCATCAGCCTCAATACAGAATACTCCAGCACTGACTTTTCAAACCAAAATTTTGGTTATCACAAAGAATTAAGGCTGTGATTGTCTAATCTTGCATCGATTTTCTTTCAGGAAACATTTTTTAATCTTGACGACAGAAGTTTTGTTCATTCTATATATTCAAAAGACGAAAAGAATATCTTGTGTTATTTGTTGAGTGGGTTGCGTCGAGTTCACCTTTCGTACGTGGTGTTTTCCCTTTGGCCTCACTGCTGTGTATTTCTTCCACAGGCGTGGTTGTTACATTCCCCTCCATCCTTTCTTGCTCTGCTGACCCTGCGTTCGTGTTAAGACCTGACGGTCCTGCTACCTAAAATTCATCCCGAATCATCAACTTGTATTATTTATACGATGAAGATATATAGCTTATTCGATGGTTTAAAACATAACACGCAAGGAAGTTTTGCGAGTTTTTTTGTATTTCAAGTGTCCTTTATTTGCTTTACAAAATCTGTCATGTTATGTTAAATAAGCCAAACAGCAAATAGAAGGAAGAAGCCTGATAACACGAATAAAGTGTTCTTTCAATTATCCACATAAAAAGTTGCAATTGCCCATAGTCGATCAAAGTCCTCCCTTACGCGTTTCTTTTGTGTTTATGTCATTGTAAAGTTAGTTCGCACGGCTTACCTTGGAATCTGAGAGTTTCTTCCTCTCATCTCCACCCCCATCTGATCTGGTCCGATGACAACATAAGTAATACTCCCATAATGAATTTTGGCTGCTTTTCTTTCCCGAGAAAGTAGAGGATTCCTCTCTGGTTCCTAACAAAAAGAAACTAATATTTCAAAAAAACTTGGTCGAGATGAAAAACGAATGAATAGATTATCATCCCAAATAGATCTCTACTTCTGAGCTAATTTAGTTTTGTGGAGGTTCGATGAGGTGGTAGGGGTACCGAATGCTCGAGCTTATCTGGAAATTGCTAAAGTTTAAAACTAACAAAATTGTCATAATAAAGCACAGCAAATTTGTATCAAGTAGCTTTAGAAACTTTTTCTTAGCGTTTTACCAATGACTCGATCATTTTACCATTCTTTAGAAACAATGAAGTCTTATACAGTTGATCCGAGGTGGCTACCGCTAATTGCAAGATTATCTGATCAGGGTTTTGCTTGACTTGACATAATTTCCATGATGTACGTTGAAGTTGTTTAGACCCATGGTTGGAGAGCTGAGGAGCTGAGGAGCCCACTCTAAGGGGAGATTCTGTACTCTGTGAAAAAAGCTTCTTTCAAGAGCACCTCTCTTAAATCTTCTTTTGCTTCTGTTGCTAGCCCTGGCCTTTCTAGCCCTTGCAATGTAGTGCACAACAACCATGAGTGTATAAAGCTTAATTGTAGATACGTTTGTGCTTAGGAAACTTACTGAGCCCAGACGTTGTCTACTTGCAAACTATTCTCTGGGTGAATAACAATTCCATACAAGAAGAACGCAATTGCCCGATGGGAACCGAATCAGAATCAGCCAGCAACAAAAGACGTGTGAACAAAAATACAACAGAAGCGGGAAACGTGACGAAGTCAACGGCTAATGCACCATTCAAGAGCACCTCTCTAATGCACCATTCAACGCACCGCTGGTTGGTCCTGACTGTTTTAGCAAACAGCCTTTATCACGGACTTTGTTTAATTCGTTAAAAGCCTGCTTTCAAATAGCTTATTTGGAAATTGCTATAGTTTAAAACTAACAAAATTCTCACAATGAAGCGCAGCAAATTGGCGTCAAGTAGATGTGGGAACCTTTTTTTTGGCTTTTTACCAATGTATCAATCATTTCTCACTAAAGGGGAAGCGTCGAGATCGTGTACTCAGAGGAAACGGTTCGTTTAAGAGCACCTCTCTTACATCTTATCTTGTTTCCATTGTTAAGCCTGGCCTCTCCCAAGCCCTTGCAATGTAGTGCACAGCAACCACGAGTCTATAAAGCTTAATTGTAAATAAGTACGTTTGGGCTTAGGGATTCGATCCAGACTGTTTCAGAAAACAGCCTTCATAGGACATTTTGTTAATTCGTTAAAAGCCTGAAACATGCATGAACTTCACAGGGTCACTAGGGAAAATTCCCGCTTTTGCGTGCACGAAAGTCTACTGAAAAAAGTACGCTTATCAACAATTGAGGTAATGATCGAAAGAAAAAGACAACATACCCCAAGAACTGTCAGTTAGATTGCAGATAGCGTAAACTGTCAGCAGAAGATAGCCGGATGGAAGGCAGAAGAAGTAAACAATTCCATAAAGCAAGCAGGTAACTTCTCTTGGATGCAAGAGAGCAGAAACTACAAAGATTCCAGTCAGTCCACCTAAGTACAGGCTGCTCACCCCCACCGGAAGATGGTGTTCTAAAGGTTTTGTTGTTGTTGTTGTTGACGATGTCGTTTCTGTCTGCATCGTCGTTGCCACAGATGGCTCAACTTTCCTTTCCTTTAAATCGTTGGAAACTTGGACAGCCAATCCGACCACCACAGTGCACATGATTACTGAGAAAAAACAGGTCAGTATCTTTGACACTCTAAGCTGCCACTTTGGGGTAGTGTAGAGGCATACCAGGACGTAACCAACAACAACAAGGATAAAGAGCACGGATGTCGTTATCTGGCTGATTGGAAGACCTGCAAGTACTATTCCACCCACTATGACCAAAATGACTGTGGAACCTCTGAAACAAAGGGAATTGTGTTATTTCATGGGCTTCACTAGACTGTCGTCAAGAAAAAAAGGTAACGTAAGAATACATGAAATCGTGCACCTGAATGCAAATTATTTTTTCAAATACTAACAGAAAAGTGAAAGCAAGTTCAACTTTTTTCCATTATGTGAAAAACGCACCCTAATTACCATTTCCTGACTTCTGTTCTTCGTTTTTTCATAACTTTAAAAGGCAGATTGAAATTTCTTTTCCGCTTTTCGTATCGCAGTAAATTGCTACCGAGCTCAATCTGTGAAGGAATACGATTAATTTTTATAGATTTTATGACGGCAGGCCCATGGCAATGGCGAAGAAACAAAAAAAAAATCTCAATTACACAGAAACTGATTGATGAATAATGCTTCGATAAAAAATAATCAAAATCTTGAATTTATAGTTGATTACACCAATATTGAACGTTTCTGATAAAGTTTAAAAATGGACATAACTTACCCGATGATCGTGGAGAAGAAAAGGAACGCTTGATATACAAAGAATAAAAGAGAAATATGCTCGTTGTTACTCCATGTCTGCTTCCATTCCCTAATAAGTAGAAAGAGGTTGGCTAGTGTTGATGGCGCCCATCGTCTTCGTTGTTTATAAAACTCCTGAAAACTCTCCGGGCAAAAAGTGCTGTTCTCTGCAGCAGCACAATATGTCAATCGCCAGCCGTTTTGTATCATCAATGTGCACATCCAGCGGTCCTCCCCTTGAAAAAAATTATTACAACTTAAATCAGACAAATCCCGGTGGATAAGGACAGCTTCAAAGGTAATATCGGATAAGCTTACGAAACACAGGTCCTTCCCGAGAAAAATTCAATCGCAGTTTGCTTGTGCTCTTTAGAAACAGCATTAATTAATCATTTTTTCCCAAAGGGTCCTTAAAAAAACCTGGACAATCTATCGCTCTAAATACCGATTGATGTTTTTTTTCGAGACTCACCCTGTCTATTGGAATGGAAGGAAACGGAAGAATCCGTGTTATTTTATCGCCTCGACTGATTGTATGAAAACAAGCCAATAAGGAAAGAGGCAAAATACCAAGTTACTACGTATATAAATAAGCCAGTTAGTAATTAAACAACTGACAACCCCGCGGCCCTCTAAAAAGCTAAATAGTAATAAAATGGTAGCTATTTACAAATAATTCTGAGAAATCTGCAACGATTTGGAATTGTTTAAAAAAAGGTAAGAAATAAATATTACATACATCTTTTTTATAGGGAAAAGCATTGGATGAAGATTAATTTTATAACGTAAGTATTTAAAGAGAATCTCTTTCAATTTATTCTAATGAGCCAGAAAAGTATTGAATCTTTAGACATTCTTCAGAGGAAGAAAAAAGCTTAGGAAGATGGAGGATGGAAGGAAACGTTACAGGTTGGTAATAAGCCCTTTTTCTCGTGGTTTAAATTAACTCACCCATATCTTTGGTAAGGCATTCAAGAGCGGAGTCTGCACAGGTGGCATAATTTGATAAAACATCCCTCACAGCCCTGCACCTGTACAAGCTGAAACATCCAGGACAACACAAGACTGAGCCAAGCATATGATTGGTCACCTAAAATCAAAAGAGCGTATTAATTAATGGATGATTTCTTGTCTTTTATCTTTCCTTTCTGCTCCTTTTTAATTGTTCTGTTGAAAACTTTAAGAATGAGAGAAAGGGTCATGACGTAGCTCAAAGCGGGTTGTTTTGAGCTACGTCTCGGATTAACAAGGCGGGAAAACATTCAGAGATACGCTTTTAGGCCGAGCTAAATTTGAGACTCAAACGTAATCATTGTACCTTCAATGTGGCTAACATGAATACACAAACCTTTTGGAACCAGTGGCCAATAGCATAGTCAAATATCTGATACCAATAGACAGGTCCTTCTCCAAGGGGATAGGTCCGAGCACATACTGCGCCAGTTCTAGAGTCCTCACACATTTGATCAATTAAGGCTTCAACAGACTCGTGAGTAAATTTAACGTCGCCGTCTGTTGCGAGAATGAAGCATTGGTCGTCTTCTAATGCTTTTGTGACGATTTTAAAATCCAGAACGTAGGACATGTACATTACTTGGCTCCATCTCTTCTTATTTTTCACCTGTGATTGAGCCAACAACAAAAAAATTGAGCTCTCTCCTGAATGCGTTCACGTTGAAAAGAACCAAATCAAAATTCTTAAATTTGAATGTTACCTTTGCATTATCTTTTAAGTGTATTGTGAAGGATGTCTCTCCTTCTAATTCAAGTTTCCACTTAAGCTGCATACCAAAGTGGGTCTCAACCTTAATACAGTCGCTGAGTTCTTTCACTTTTAGAGTATTTTTCACCAACGAAGCCAGCTGAAGTACATAGCTGTTAAGCTCTTCTGCCCTAAGGCACCCATCAAAAAACACGTGTGCCTCAAAATGATGCCCTGATTTTTTATTTTTGAGGACATCGTAAACTGACTCCAGAAGTTGTTTCATTTCTTTCCTTTTCTCGTGATACATTGTAGTGCAGATGAACACATGTAATCCACTGTCCTTCTGGTTAGAAGCTGATGAAAAATTCGTATTCTGGTCATCTTAGCGTTGTTATGTTTAGCATTTTGACAATTTCATGAAGCAAAAAAAAATGAGACCAAACATCTTTAGAAATATAAAAGAAGTCCTTTTTTTACCTGATGCATTTTCCTGTGAAGAGCATTCCTCGTCAAATGAGAGGTTTCGTTTGTTCGTCAACAAGTACTGTTCAAGGCACACACCTGAAAATATAAAGAATAAATGGATCAATATCAGTATCTGGGCAACTGCCCACCTACCCCTCCCCTAACCCAACATTAACGCTAACTTGTTATCAATAGACTGTTGTTGGGTTAGGGGAGGGGTAGGTGGGCAGTTGCCTAGATACTGATATTGATCCGAATAAATTTCTTACACTGAGCATCCCACTCAGTTAAAAAAGAGCCATTTGATTCACCTTGCAAAAAGATGGTAGTACAAGTGTGATTCAAGTTGCACGTACTGGTCCACGCTTCAGCTAAGTTTAAAACGAGACCAGTATCTGCTTAACACCAAAAGAACTTTTCTGGTCAATTTTCGTTTTCAGTAACTTTTTCTATTGAAATTCGTGTGAGCCTTAAATAAGCCTAAGGGTTTACAAAAAACAATGAGTTAAATAGTTGAAAGTAGTTCAGTTTTGATAAGAAATGATTGTAAAAAACTTACCATTATAACAAGGAATCCAAAATGAGTCGTACACTTTTCCCAAAATCTTTCCTGGACTTTTAAACAGGTTGTACGTGGTTCCCAAACATTGTGCTAACCACAGAAGGAGTCCCGCACCAAGAACATAGTGTACGTCTCCTGATGCACATGGTGAGGGAATTGTTTCTGTTTCGCAAAACCCTATAAACTGGGTTATGATGACAGCGATTGGTGTTGCTAGTGTTAAGGGAAGAGCCAGTCCAACCCTTTGCATGCGAAGAGAACACGCGATCCATCCAAAATGGTAGCCGAAGAAGCTGGCCAAAATGTGGAATATGAAGTACAAACATGACGGATTTGACATTGTTATGGCCTTAAATCCGTCAAAGGTATTAAATTTTACAATGCCATAAACACTTGAAAATGCAACTGCCATTACAGGTATGAAGAATAGTTTACAAAGGGAAGAAATAACGGCCGTTTTCGCTTGAGCTGTTCTGGTCAACCAAGGAGGTCCGGTTTCACTCTTCAAGGATCCTTCACTGCTGTTACTGATTCTACTGAGCGTTTCTTCACAGACAGGCTTTGCCACGAATGCCTCCTTCGAACTAATTCCTGGTTTTTGTAACGTATCAACGCATTCCTTCGTCATCTCGGTGCTTTTCTCCCTTTTCGTCTCTCTTTTCTCCTCCTCATGTTTATTTTGAATTTGGAGTTTTCTAAACGTAGGTGACCAAACAATTGACAGCAGGAAAAGGGAAAGTTCAGCCAAAATTATTCCTTTCAGGTCAGCCACCTTTAGAAATAACATAGAAGAAAATTCTTGTTTGATGATTATGAAGAAGCTTCACTATAAAATTTTTCTTGAAAAAAAATCGTTATGAGATTTTCATAGGACTGTCATACTTTTTAGACGCAAAACCAGATGCAGCCTTATAGCTGACAAAAGCATTTAGTTCATGGTAAAAGACTCTTTTCTTGTGTCGCATGTCCAAAAAAAGTACTGAGTCCTTTGTGTGGCGGCATTAGAAATGACTCATTTTCTATGTTCAATTGCTCCTCACCACTTCGATGAAGATCTATCACAGACTAAAATGCATCAGAATCGGCCGCACTTTATAAAAAGTTATTTCGAGTCAGGAAACCTGATCCTTGTAAGGAAAAGCCGGGGAAACGCATAGTTATTATTTCAGGATTCATTTTCTAAGTTAGATCGCCCATGAGCTCTTCACTAAAGATTTATAGCACACTAAAAGCAAGACAACTACCCTTACTTAATTAGGAAATTCGACCTAGTAAGATAGAAACGCAAAGCCTTTAGAAGTTACCTTTAAAGACAGCATGATATTGCCAGCAAAAAAAAAAATGGTAGACACTAGTGATATCATGATATCCGGCAAGCTCAGTTGGTCACGTTGCTCACGTTGGCCACTTTGGCATTTTTTTCTGTAGACTTCCTGCAACATTAACGGCAACCCGGCTATACTGCACATAAGCACCACGAGAAAGTCAGGGCTCACTGGCAGCGTTGTCACCATAACCACTGTGATATAACAAAGCGAGGAAGCTTCAAAGAATCCACCAACCAAAGTCTGCAGTGTTAGGAAAATTACATTTTATTTGAAGCTGGTCAAAATGAGGGCATTAGTGAATGCCAAAGAAGAAAAAAATAAGGTATCACTCTGATAAACAATAACTTTGATTTAACGACAAAACATTACTTTCAGAAATCAAACTTAGTAATCATGGGTCCAATAGCGCTGTCAGGTCTGAACATTATTACGGAAAGATAGTTCATTGCGCCTGCTAAGATAAGACCGCATACGAGGTAATGGTAGACCGCTTTATTGATACGATTTTTCTAGTTTAAAGAGGGGAATTATCCTCTTACAGGAGGCCACGTACAAACTTTAAAAAGGGAATAGGTTGACCTTTAAAGTTCTTACCAATAGAAACCCATCGTGGACGTGCATTGTAATGTACACGATATTTAGGTCATGTTCCATGATAAAGTCGTGTGTTTTGATTTAATTGTGAAATTAAATTCCTTAAATTCAAGCAATTTGGGTAAACCATTTGTCTAAAGATAAAAAAAGAATAAAAAAACAGTAATCCTTGCATCTCCACCACAACATGGGCTGAACAGCACCTACAGATTTCTCGTTTCATATGTATCAATCCAATAGTTAAGTCAGCATAACTACCTACATATTTAGTTACCATTGCAGTTCCATGCTTCCCTACAAAATATTTCCTCGAAAATTGACAATTTTCGGTCGAAGACAATCCCAGTTTGCCATTACGATGTAATTGAATACTAATATTTAGCTACTCCGGAATCAATAAGTCCCGTAATTCCAGAAGGAGGATCACAAACAAGGCCTGTGTGATTTATTAGGGACAAACATCAGGTAGTTTGGGTTGAATTGACAGTCGTTTCATTACTCAAGCACCAGTCAACAAATTTTGTTGTAAAAAAACGTCATCGCACTGCCGCAAAGACAGTGACAACAAATATTCACTTTAACACGCAAATCAATCCACTGCTTTCTAGTTGCTGCTCATAATTGACTCAGACAGTTTTGATCGTTTGACTGCTACGTATTCTTAGTTCTGCTTATCCTTCGCGGTAGCCGATGGTTTTCGGCAATGAGAAGGGTCTCTCTCGCACTTTTCCCGTTGTTTGTCAAAGTAGAGAAGCCAATTTATAATACCTACTTTTACCCTTGAATATCAAACCTTGCCCTTCGAATATTTAAAATGCTGCCGAAAGAGTGCGTAGAATAAGAGGATCGATTCTATATGCATCGGTTGCTTTTGGACGATGCTGAGACGAAATGAAGTTAATAAGATCGCCAATGATACACTCTGTTTTCAATATTTTCTTATAGAAAATTGCCTTTCCTAATGTTGGCAAGGATAATGATAGCTTTAATTAGAACTTACTTCCTTGTTTCATGTTTAGTCAAATATAGGGCAACTATTTGAATTTAAGTCATTGCTTCATTTTAAGGTTTTGAAGAGACTCTACGATTTCGTTCTATAATAATTTAGGGGTTTATATTGACTGAAAAACTCTAGAAGTTTGGCCGCGCAAACATCGCATGTCTAAAGTTTGCCCCACGGACAATATGCTTTTTGTTCGTCCATTTGACCCGGCTTTATATGTGGTTTGTAGAGAGTTTATCACGATCAAGAGGCTGACACAGAATCATGCCAAGTAGTCCTGGGCAAAATGGCGGAGAAAGTAAAAGCAATGGTAATAAAACTGGCAATAATAGTTATAAATCATCGTTTAATCAAAGAAACCCTCTGACTTACTTATTTCCGATGAACACCCTACACAAAAGCCATATTTCTACGAGATAGAAGTGTAATGACCTCGTCAACTCCTCACGAAATCAATATCGTCTGATTGGAAATATAATGGGTTACGTTTGATCAGGCACGGCCTTCCTGGAGAAAGCAAAAATATATGTATTCCTAGAATAGGAAACTGATGGCTAACTTCGAGGTTTTTCGTGGAATACAGAAACACATTCTTCGTTTGGTCACGAAACGAAACTTGAACCATTGGAATTTGCCCTTGGGCTTCTACCACCGAGCAACAGAGATTATGCAGTGAGCAAGGCCATTAATAGATTCATGCGTGTCACGCGCCTTTCATACTGTTAGTATCATTAGCAAAGTAAAAAAATTCATGTGCGTTTTCACAAAATGAACTTACGGTAAGTATTGAGCCTGGTCATTCGAACAGAGAAAGAAAATGATCCGTTCCTTCATATTTCTTAAAAAAATATAAACCTCCATATCGCTTTGATTATGATTTCGAAAATATCACTTTAACACCGCTTTTTTTTAACCCGCAATAAAACAACTATCGTCTTTTACTGTATTTAGTCTCGCCTATAAAGCCGTAATTATCAGATGGTGTGAGAAGTTTGTATGTAATTATTAGTGCTGACTACTTATTCATACTTCCCATCCGGTTGAAAACGATTTCAGTTACCTACCATGAGTAGCATCGATAATTTGGCCTTCTGAAGTAGTTGAGCATTTTTACATCAATTGGAAAAGAGCGTCTGCAATTTTGAATACTCACAAGTACTACCTGACTTCTAGCAATATTTGCTAGGAGTTCGCCTTAACTAAAACAGATCCAAATTCTCAAAGAGTGAGCACTTTCCAGTGGCAGTAGCGCTCAAAACATAGGGTCGTATGAAGAATGTAAATCAGAAGTAAAAATCAGCAAATCTGATCAAAGTAAATAATTAAAATGAGTAGGAGGGAAATGAATGCAACACGGAGTGCGCAGCCATTCTCCTCTCTCTAATAAGAAGAAAGTTTTCAACCACTGGTGATCTTATATTCCTGTAGTTCCTGATAGAAAAAACTGCGCCATGAAGCAACAACAATAACAGCAGCAACACAACCACAGCAGCAAAACAAACAAACAAAACATACGAACAACTAGGATTAAAAGACTCTTGGTCTGATGATGTCGCAGTTCGGTAAAAACGTTAAATATATATCACTGTTTAAGGTAGCACTTTGAATAACAAAACATCACTAGTTTCATAGTACTTGTTGCTGTGCAATTTTTTCCTCGAAATTCCAATATTTTCTCCCGGAGAGTGTTTTGGGAACCTAGGGAGTCATTATGCTAGCCTTGATAAGGACCATAGTTGCCTATTATTGGCAACTCTCATAATATGGCATAGCGAAATATTTGCGGTTCTATGCATTCACAACAATTAAAAGAGCGAGCCTACTTCAGGACATTGAATTATGCTTCCTTTGTTTTATAGCTTCAACATCTTTCTTAAGAGTCTAGAGGATCATGCCAACATAAATATGAATTCAAATTTTCATCAAACGTTGAAGGCTTTCGTGTAATTGCATATTTTCACTAAGGCAAGTAGGCATGTGTAACCCTCAAATATATACTTTATAACGTCTAGAAAAGAAGTAAAAACTTACTAGCATAGATGCCTTCTTTGACGGCCATGGTCGATGCTTTTTCCCCAGACTTGTCCAACTTGCGTGTATTAAACAGGCAGCTTCTGGGATCATCAAAGCCAGCACGAGCATCAAAAACAGTGCCTGTTTGTTTGTTTCGGAAGAATATTCCACTGCCAAGGTGGAATTCGCTGTAGATTCACTGAACCTTTTCAAATGCTGCCCGAGAACCAACAAACAAATCTTGCTGGTGACAAGACACGCCAAGACGGCCGAAAATACTATAACTGCCACTAGCCATTTTATGGTGCATCTGAATACGCCATATTTGGATTCGCTGCTCTTTTTTGACGCCGATGGCCTCGATTGTTTCTTTACCGTGAATTTAAATTTCTTCCAGTTCTGCTCATCCGGGGTCATACTTGACATGTTGCCACTGTCGATGGTTTGAAACATTTAAAAAAAACGAGGAAGAACGTCTATCTCGCTCTTTTCTTCGTTTCTTGGCTCTAGCTAAAGAGACGCCACGCTAAAATCTCAAGTTCCAGTATAAAATGTCATTAATGACGTGGCCTGTCAATCATGTCAGTGTTGCCAGAAAATAAAGGATGGATACAAGGTCGATTTTGCAGCTGGAATTATTGTTTTTTTTCATTTTGAAGATGTCGGAACGAAAGGAATGCAGTAAGATCGTAGTTTAATTGTGTTACTGTTTAAGAACAGAAATTTGCCTAATCGGTGATAAGAGGGATCTTCTACCTCTTGCAAGATAAAAACAGCCTGAATTACAACTTCCCTGTTTGACTCTCTGTGGGAGAGATTTTTGCTCTGCGTGTAACATAAGGGAAATTTTTCAAGTTCCGTTACTTCCTCGATGTTTAATAAGATACTTGTTTAAGAACATATTTACGTTTAGGAGATTCTATGCATGGAAAAGGGAACTAAAAATTAATAACAGCCTAGCCTTGAAATCCTTCACGAGTCTAAGTTTTTAGTCCAGACATAAAACTCGTTTTGCTTGTCCATATGACCTACGTGCTTGATTTAGAAGAAAATTTGTCACGATCAGAAGAGGGCCACAGACGCACGCCAAATGGTCATGCAATAGTTATGATGAAATTAATGTTACGGATAATAATATTGAATAACGACAGTGATTTTAATACAAACAATAGTCATTATAAATATTTATAGTTGTTCTTTTTGAAAAATATTTTGAATGAAAAAAACGTTTTCGAACAAAACGTTAATACCACCATCGAATAGCGAAAGTTGGTCAGATCGTAACGTTTTTGTTCAAAACATCGATTCAATCGAATCTAATTTTACGTTTTTCAACCCAAAAGAATTATCTCTCTTCAAAGTTGTTAAACATGAGCAAAATAAATTACCTACCGTACAGTTTACCGACTGAGGGCGTAGAATAAGCTGATAATAGACATGCATCTCAACGTACTATGTTTGCGTTATTGAGGAGTGCTTCGCTTTCCATTTCCACATTTTAAAATCTTAATATTAAATAGCAAATATCTTGAGCTGAAACTTTTTCCTTCGGGAAAGAGGGTTGAGATATCCGAAAGTGGGTAATACAATGGACATCCGCAAACTTTCGACATGAAAATCATCTGCCTAATAGTATTATTAAACTTTTTTAGTACAAAAAAAAAATTGTCGACCAATTATCAGTACATTGCTGGTAAGCTGGTCCACTAGATATTCAAATCAAAACATTAGAATGAAGCTATAGAGATTCATTCAGCTTGGGGAGTGGGATATCAGCGAAAAAAAGTTTTTTGTTATGATTATTTACTCGACTGTTCTCTCCTTTTTGTTGCCATCCGGCAATTTCTGGACGAATTATTTTCGATTTCCCTTTTCTTTTCTGTAATAAAAAACTTTGGTCGCTATAACTGATACAACCATAATCGCAGAACCAAGTAGAGCAAGTATAGAATAAATGTATGTTATTGTCATTGTGATATGGTATCTTTGTCGATGTCATTTATTTGATCTTTGAGTTTAAAGCCCACATGAAATCATTAACCTGCGGATTTATAAAATGATATTGGACTTTCATTCTCAAATTGCTTCAATTATGCAAGTAAGTTTCTGAATTAACAGCACAAATACTATCTACTGTGTGCTAGTTGACTTTTTATATCAAGCGTATGGCTAATCAGTGCCTAAATACAATGACAATTGAAGTTGATGGGAAACGACCTTCTCCTGTGCCGCACAGCTTGTTAAGTCAATTTTCTTGAAATAAATAACAACCAAGAAATTAAGCATGGGATATAAAACCCTCTTTCCTATTTTTCCTCCATCTAATATCATTTTTGCCATGTTTCCTTTTATTTTTTCTCATCTTCTCTATTATTTCCAGTCCAAGGTGTACGTGACAAAAAAAAAACCAATGTCTGAACGCGATGGCACAGGAGGGCTAAAAACTGCACCAAGAATATGCCTCCACAGACAATAAGAAAACCGATGAGATCTAAACCTAAATTTTCCTGGTCTCTATGAACAAACAGAGTCAATACTAGTATTATCCACAAAGTGTTGCTTACACCGAAAACCCACAGAACTGTCATCCTAAGGTTCCGGAGTTTTTTTTGGCCAAAAGTGGTTGACTCATAGGACTTGTCATCCGGAGTAAGGCATATTGGAAGTAAACCTTCCCAGTAAATGTTTTCCTTCCTCATCTCATCATAATCTTCCCATTCGACAAAAGGAACTCTGTCCAACTCACAACTCGTGAAGCTGATTTTCTTCATCTCTGAAAGAACCAAGAATACTTAGCAATTACCAAGTTTTAGATAGAGGAAGAAAACACAAAATTGCAAATAGCGAGAAACTGCCCATGTAACCCCTATTTTTTCGGCTTTGAAATGATGGGCAAGACAATTTTCACAACTTGCGAAAATTTTGAGAGATTTCACCAGACAAAAATGAAGAAAATCAGAGGCAAAGCCAAATTATGACTGACGAGCGCCTCCTTTCATAGAGCCTTAGCTTAATTACGAAAATAACTTTCTTAATATTTACTGCAGCAAACGATTGTCCGAACCTTGCTCATCGCCTTTTGATGACTTTTAATGACATAGAAAAGCGAAAACATAAAATTTTCTTGAAAAAAAATACGTTGCAATACAGCATGAGTTTTCTGGAATCATAATTTGCTCTTAGTAAATATAAATCTACTCGTATTCTATCACAAAATGCTGCAATCTAATTGGCCACTTTGTTCCATGCTAGGGGACAGAGAGGAACAATCAACTATGTCACTCTTTATTTCTAAATGTAATAGGTAACGAGGACAAAGCCTCATTAACCTACCTCGCGATAGAACTCTCGAGCTCGTAATCTAAGTGTAGACTAGACAAGCGGAAAGGTCATATTCAGAAAATGTTAGCGTGAGGTAGAGAAATATAACTACCATTCATTAAACCTTGGGCCGATGATATCACTTGCGGCCTTGACCGACAAGATATAGATATCATATGAACTGAAATATATGGCTTTCAGGAAAATATGAGGTGAAGAATATGTTATTTTTCTTAAGTCGTACGTACCAGGAGAAGGAAGTAAACTGTGAAGAGCCTCAATAAGCCTCTTTAAATGGCCTGGTTTTTCGATTTCAAATTTTTCTTTCAAGTATTGCCTCGGGTTCCTTTCGCTCTTCATTTTTAAATCTTGAAGAGCCTCTGGATCTGTACATGCTTTTGATTCAAACATGTGCCAATATTCTTCAAGACGGTACTCTACTAACCAGTCTCTAACGTTTCCCTGAAGATAGAAATGCATTAAAGACATCAACACGTTAAAATATCCTCTATCGATAGAAACTATTTTGTATTCTCGTTTACCAACATTAATGATTAGTTGGTTTATTTTTCGCAATAAAAACTGTAAAGCTCCTTAACTAAAATGAATAATTAAGTGGGTTGATCAAAACCATGCAAACGCGTGCAACGAGTTGAAAATCAATATTTCGGGAAGAAATGGGCACAAGTTTCCTTTCTTTGATTGGCGGTCATATTGGTTTGATTCCTTGCTTTAGTAGATACAAATACAGTTGTTTAGATAACTTACTGGAATGTCGTCACTGATCTTAACCAAATGAATTTTCTTTATGTGCTGCAGGAGCTCTGCAATATCCGCTTCCTCTACACCAATTTCTTTGAGATCCTGAAATATCATAAAAATAATGGACAATTTCCATTTTAATAGAAAGCAAAAGAAAACTGACAGCATTGAAGAGCTCAAAAGTTCAGTGATACAAAGTAAAAAAAATATGTTTTAGAGGGAATTGGCAATAAGTATTATCTATAAATTGCCTCTAGGAGAATTGCGTAACATTTTTTTTTTAAATAAATATTGCTTAGCACGTACAGCAAAGTCTGTAGAATGAGGATTTGTACGTCTCCCCTCCCTGCGGAGTTCAGAAAATTTTTTACGCAGGCTTAAGACTTTGATTTATTTTAGACAAAGCAGATGGGGGTTATGATGTAAAGACAGGATACCCTCCTCGAAAAACAGATCTATCAGTTGGAAATTTATAAAATGTGATTTCAGGATCCTTCACAGTGAGAGTTGACGATTTTAGCGGACACGAAGCTGACAATCGATATGAACCGATCGCAGAGCTTTGTCACTTTAGTATTAGACAAAGGACTGTTCATGCCTTTTTAATAACAAGAAAAAAAATAATGATATAGAATCAATTTTGAAACCTTTATTTCCAACAATCGTTAGGCCAGTCTGTACAATCCGAACGCTTTTGAGGCTTCTCATAATTATCATAAGGTCAAACTTACTTCCTCTTGTAATCCAGCTAAATCCATCATGAGTTCATATCCATTTTCAACGAAACCAGTTGCATATTTCTGAAAAAAGAAAAACATTTCAATCAGAAACCACGATCAAAATCAAGAAAAACAAATTATCTTTTAATCCAGCTTAATTTATGAAAGAATCTATATTTTTTTCTAACGAAATGTGCAACCAGTAAGTTAAGCCATCATGAGTTATGCTTTCTTTTTTTACCTCATATCTAAAGTGCAGGAGGGTCTTGGTTAATTGTCATAGGATGAAAGAGCATTTTTGCTGTGTTGATACCAAGCGCTTAGTTAAGATTTGAGGTAAAAATTCGAAGTTATCTGGACTATGGTTATTACTGGATGAGTTTCCTGATTGTGACTTCTTGTCTAATCTAAATCGGTGGACGTGCATACTTTGCCTACTGACCTTTCCTTAGAGCAACACTTAAGTGTTTGTTTGGCTTTCGAAGTCAATGATTCATCGTTTGCACGGAAGCTTTAAGGACGTTGTTCTTCATTCATGAGATTCTGGTGTAAAATGTTTTCAGAAATCTTCTGATAAGGAATGTTTAATCTTCCTAGGTCAGTTGACCCGCATGCCTAATCGCACTTGCCGATAGTAAATTACTATGTGCATCAGCACTATGGACTTTAGTTAGTTAGAGCAGAGCCCGGAGAGAGTGATCAAAGAAGTGAATGAAGTGAATTGCTGTAAGTAATAGTTAGCGGAATTTATGATATTAGAGAATACCTTAAAAGAAAGAAATAGAGTCCTAAGTGCTTTTCGCTCAGTGTGTGGCGCTGTGCAGTTAATTTCCACCTATCCATTTCGTAACAGGATGATAGGTTCTGGTTACATAATATTATTCAAACTCAGCTTTTCAGCTTTATTACCCCCAGATCTTTATCTTGTAAATAATTCTTCACTGGCGTGTGAATATGTTCCTTTTCAGACGGTGACAGTTGGATTGTATCTAAAGATAGGAAAGGAGGAAATACGTGTGTCGTCAGCAATTTTCTTGCAGTTAAGTTATGGGTGTTTAGGATAAGTTACCGCCTTCCCTGTTGTAAAGCTTTCTAACAATAACTTGAGCCTTTACTCAAGATGTCCATGTCATTTTTCATCTCCAGGGGGGGTAAATTGTTTTGGTTTTACGCTAGTATTTTAGAAGCTTTCGTAGTGCAGCAGCACCTATTTCACGTCGAGAAACAACTTGGAAAAATGTTTATCTTCGAACTGAAAGTATTTTGTCTTGTTTCACCATACGAGGCGGATTTATCAGTTATTTCTCACGCCTTACTTGTTGTTATTCCTTTTGGTGACTCTGTTTTCCTGTTTAGACCTGACGGACCGGAACCCTACAATTTAAGCAAAATCGTCAATGTCTGATTTAGGAAAGAAATGCTAAAGGACTAAAAAGTTATTGGAAACTTTGCATCTAGCAATAATTGAAATTGCTATCATCTACAAGTGACAGAAAAAAGATAACTTTGGGTAGGCACAATAATCAATAGCAGATCCAGGAAGAGGGTTCTGAGGGCCCGAACCCTTTCCCCAAACTCATATCTTATCTGATACGAAAATTATCGAAACGAAAGGTTTGCTCGCCTGTTATTCCTCAGAATGAAGTGTTAAAAATTTAGTCTTCTTGAAATATTTCTTAACTTATTTAGGCCCAAACGTAAAAGCCCTTCCATCCACTTGCATTTCAAGGGCTGCCGCCGTGACAAGTTTTTAATAAAAGGATCAGCAACAATAGATCAGGTTCCTACGAGTTTGAAACGTTTTCATGTTGACTAAGTACATCATGTCCTAAGGCCACACTTCATCAATAAACCACTTTGACTGGTTAATTTAATGTAGGTAAAATTTGCGATGTATCTAGTTCACAAGGCCTACTGTAGAGTTTGAAGGTTTCCCTGTTATGCTTGGAAACCAAGGTTTATCATCCTGTACCTTACTCTCTTTTTCATCCTGATCTGGTCTAATTTGATGTGATCTTTGCAGACACAAACATGGACACCCAGAATAATTTCCCTCTCTTGTTCCTGTTGAAAAAAGAAAAATGAAGACACTAAGAAGAAATTTCAGAAAAGAAAAACTATACTCAAAGATAGGGTTTGCGCTTTTAAGTTCTTACTTGAGAGCATGCCTCTGGAAAATCATTTGCATGGATAATTGTGCTCGCTGACTGTTGCGTATCTGATCTTGGCAGATTGCAATTCTCTAATTTTCTGCACTTTTGATTTAGAAATACCGAAAAAAATCAATGCGTCCTTGAAAGATAAAGATGTGTATTAGCAAAGTGCAGGAAATAAAAATAATTTTAGAAAGAGTTCAATGATAGCAGTGAAATGATAAAATTATAATAAACGTACCCCAAGAAGTGTCGGTTAAATTGCAAATGGAGTATATCGTCAACAACAGAAAGCCAGATGGCAGGCACAAGATATACCAAATTCCACAGACAGAGCAAAGGATTTCTCCTGGATGCAAGAAAGAAGCAATGGCAAAGACCCCTATCAATCCAGCTAAGTACAGGGAACTCACAGCAGCCAGTAAATTGTGTTGCAGAAGTTTTGATGCTGGTAAAGATGTGTTCGTATACACTATCGTTCCGACAGTTGGATCAACTTTTCTCGCCTGCAAATCTTTTGAAACTTGAGAAGCCATGCCAATTACTATGATGCACATAATTGCTGAGAAAAGAAAGGTCAGCATCTTGGATACTTTCAGCTGCCATTTTGGCTTGTAGAGACATAATAATACATAAGCAACAAAAACCAGACAGAGGAATGCGACTGCGTATATTTCCTTTATGGGAACACCTGATAGTGTCATTCCACCCGCTATGACCAGAATTAATGTGGACGATCTGAAAGACAAAAACTAGCCAAGTTGCATTACAGTTTCAGTCAAATTTCTGGGCCTAAATTCTGCCCGCAGTAATAAGCAACGACAGCTGAGGTACATCATACTGCTCTAAAAGCAAGAGACATTCTCATTCCTTGGTAAACAATCCTGGGACTTTTTAACCCTTAGCATCATCAGGAATTGCAAAAGCGCATCTTTTGAAAGTTATGTTAGGCAAGCTTCGCTCTTTTTTTTCACACGCCATCATAAATAACGTTTGTTTTGGCGGTTTTTAATAAAGATGCTAAGAATATAGGATGATTTCCAAAAAAATTGAGTGATGCTTCATATGACTCGATTAAAGAATTATCTTTTCAGTGACTTGTGCCAATGTCTAAAAACTCATGTGAACTTTAAAAATGCTTTTAACTTACCCGATCACAGAGAAAATGACAACGAACGTTTGGTAAAGGATAAATAAAAACGAGACATGTTTGTTATTTCTCAGTATTTCTCTCCCTTTGCTGATCAGCAAAACTAAATTAGCGAGGGAAGATAGCGTCCATCGTCTCCTTTGTTTGTAGAACTCTTCAAAGCTCTCCGGGCAGTAAGTGCTGTTATTTGCAGTAGCACAATATGTCAATCGTTTGCCACGTTGTATCATCAGTGTACACAACCAACGGTCTTCCCCTTAAAAAATGGTTGTGACTTAGTTGATTTTAGCAATATGAGCATAATGATGACATATGAGCATAATTATACCACGGTTACAGTATAAGGGGGTTGATGGTGACAATCGTGGGTCCAGGAGGAAAAGAAATTAAGAGGTACTAATTATTTATTTACTTATTTATTTTATTATCAATCTTTTATTTGCACAAAGTAAATGTAATTACCGAAGAGTTCTAATGAATAAATAACGGAGTAAGGTAAACAAAGAGGTGAGAATGAACCTTACCCAAGTCTTTGGAAAGATATTCAAAGGGACCTTTTGCGGGAGTGGCAAACTCTTTCAAAACATCCCTCAAAGCCTCGCATCTATACAAGCTGAAGCATCCAGGACAACACAAGACTGTGCCAAGCATATGATTAGTCACCTAAAGTAAAAAAAAAGAATTAAAAACAGTAGAGAAACTGTTTTGCATACATTTATAAGCCTGACTGAAATAGAGGTGTCTTTGTTATCTCCCTGAAGCATAACTTTTCTGTTCGATTCCTTTGCTGAAAAAAAAAATCTTGGACTGGATATGGTTATTATACTCATCTTGCAGCTCAAATGACAACACAAACCTTTTGAAACCAATGGCCGATAGCATAGTCAAATATCTGATACCATACGATGGGTCCACGGCCTAGAGGATGGGTACGGGCACAAACTGCATCAACTGTGGTATCCTCGCAGATTCGATCAATTAAGGTCTCAACGGACTCGTAGGTAAATTTAACATCACCGTCTGTTGAAAGGATGAAGCACTGGTCGTCTTTCCCTAAGATGTAATCATATATAAGGTTGGATTAATTTTATCATAATGACAAGATAGTCTAAAAATTTGATACGATGAAAAAGTTGATATTTACCTTCAGGGATTTTATAATCCAGGATGTAGGACATATACATTACTTGGCTCCACCTCTTCTTCCTCTTCACCTTTGTTTGGCCCAAAATGCAAAAATTGAGCGTTAACTGCCCTGTATTAATAATCAACAATAGAAATTTAGATTACTACAAAGCAAGAAAGATTCTTCACCTTTGTACTGTCCTTTAAATGAATCGTGAACTCCATTTTATCCCGGACTGTCCACTTTAGCTGCATTCCGTAAGGGGTCCTCATCTTGATACAACTGTTGAGAGGCAAATTTAAGAATTCCTTCACCAGATAAACTAACCGCAACACATGACTGTTCAGCCGGTCTTTATCGACACAATCATCAAAGAACACGTGTGATTCGTAACGGTGCCTTGAGTTCTGTAGGTTCTTGTTGACATCTATGATTGACCGAAGAAGTTCTTCCATTTCTTTGTCTTTTTCGAGATACATTGTAGTGCAAATGAAGACATGCATTTGACTATCCTCTCCTTTAGAGGCAATCAAAAAGAACAAAACTTGTGAGAATTTCTGTGTTAAATAATTGCTACTAGTTGCAATTTACTTGGAAATCCTGCCATCGCCACATGATAATTAAGACAAGGTGATATTTCTTCGAGTGATACGATTAGAATTTTCATAACCTTCGGTGACGAACTATGGCTGGGAGATTAACATAATGGCGGCTAAATAGGAGGAAGGAGAAAAGAATAAATAGTTACTCTGCAGATTTTGCTGTTTGAAGTGTTCCTTTTCAGATTGGCGGTTTCGTCTGTAAGTTAATAAGTACTGTTCAAAGCAAACACCTAAGGAACAAAAACACGAAATTTACAGTTTCGACTATATAACTCAGATAAAAGCGATCACTTCATTCATCCCGCAATATGTAGTGGTTAATATATTTGTAGTGTTCTTCTTATTATTATTGGGTTTCCTCTGTTTAGTCTCGTTGACTTAATTGTTTTCGGTATTCGATGTCTTTGCAGTTTTATTTTCTCCCATTTTAAGATTTGGGTTTAAGTCCTCGTTGTTATCAATATCCACTATAATTCTTGTAGGGAAAAAAAAAGAAAAAAGAAAAACGTTTTCAAGGCAAAATTTTTCTTCGACGACGTTTGAAGTGACAGAACATGTAAAATAAATGTGTACCTCTGGACTCTGTCTATCATTTGGTAATGAAGGTGTAAAAATTCATACCATTGTAAGATGGAATCCAAAGCAAGCGGTTTGCTTTCTCCTCGGGACTTTTCCACAAGTAATAGGTCGTCACCATGCACTGTGCAAGCCACAGAAACACTGCGGCCATTATTGTATAATATGAAGGTTTTGGTGCGCACGGTAATGGAAGTGTTTTTTTTTCACATATTTTCCAGAGGTGTGGCGCGATAACAGAAATCGGTGTTGCCAGCATCAACGGTAGAGCATATCCGATCCAGTGCATGCCGAGAGAACATGCGAGCCAACCGAAATTGTAACCGAAGAAGCTCGTTACAATGTGAAGTATAAAGTATAAAAATGATGGATTTGAAGTTGTTATATCTCGAAATCCGTTAGAGATGTTTTTGAGCTGCACAATGTCAAATATTTGTGAAAATATAACTGCCATTACGGGGATGAAAAAAAGTTTACAGAAAGAAGAAATGATGGCCACTTTCGCTTGAACTGTGCTTCCTGGCACACAAGAACTTGGGTTTGGGTTAAATCTATGGTTCTCATCGATAGAATCCGCTATCCTTCCTGTTACATTACCTTCTTGTGAGTGACTATCAATTGCATCGCGAGAATAAATAACTGGAATTCCTTCCCCTTCCACAGTAGGATCTTGCTCTTGGTGACTGTTTCTGCTCTCCACGGTCCCAAGTCTGATGACTGATGATTCTGGAATCTCATCGTTACCTTGCTCTGGATTGTTGACAATGCTACATGAATTGATGGCCTCAGGACACTTACCTTTGGCATAGTTCCCTTGAATTTGGACTTCTCTAAACTTGGGCGACCAGACAATGGAGAGCATGTAAAAAGCAGCTTGAGAACAAATCTGTCCTGTTCGGTCAGTCACCTTAAAACAAAAAATAAGCAAGAAAATTATCGACTTTTCACTTTTTTCTCAATAACATGATATCTAATAGAAAGATAACTAAGGATCCTCACAAATTAAAAGCCATGTCGAAGCAGAAATGACAGGAATTTATTTATTCTTTGTGTCCTTTAAATTTTTGGCTTGCTATTAAGAAATCTTTGTTGTTCGAATCCATGAATTTAATTTATTAAATTTCTCTTGAGCTTGCAAAAAATAGCAGTATTAGGCATTCCTAACCAAAAGTAAAAGAGTATTTTTTGCTTTTAATATACAGTATTATCACAATTCTGTGTTGCATTCAAAACAATCAACTGACGTGTAAAAAACCATTTTAAACGCTCACTGGCGTCTGTCTTAACGAATGTTAATGATGTGCGCCACTTTTTACCAATTCAATTCTAAAATGGTTGGATCTAACGTTAAAGCGTAACTGACGGCTAACAGGTCACTTTTTCGGAATACCGTCTAAATGCCTGGGGTAACGCATTGAAACAGATACAATGTGTTTCGAATGCCTCTTTGTACCTTTTTTCGCCGGGAAAACTCTCCTGAATGCAGCTTCATGAGTCATCCGCCGTAAAAGCTTCGATTTTGATCATGTGACGTTATACGTCTCACGTGTGTACATTGAGCAAAGTAAATATGGCGGATAGTACTTCGAGCGAAAGTAGTTCTACTTCGGGGTCTGTTTATTCGGATTTTGAGGCCTCGATGGAAGGTGAACGTAATGAAAGGGTTTATGAATCTTTTGGCCAAACCAGGCCCTTGCGATTTGAACCGCCAGGACGAACGTAACCTAAAATAGAGCGCGAGAGTCAGAAGAGGATCAAGAGCCCGAGGGCTGCGGCCGCCTCAATCAAGAAAGCGAGAATGGTGATAGCATTTACGACTATAAATAAAGTATCTGAAAATCAGTCGCTTGTTAAATGTAGGAGCGATCAAGTAAAGAAAACCAAATGTGCAAACTCTTGAATACCATTGGAGCGAAGTGTTTTTATGCTAGACGCACGCACCTTTCGAAGCTAAGGTTTCACTGACTGAAATACAAACATACACGCTTGTGGAAGTTTAATTGGATGGATTATACAGGTTCACACGCGTTTGAATCGATTTTAAGTTTTCCTGTGTTGAATTTGGCGAACTATTGAATATTTCTCGGCTTTTACTTTAAAACACGGTTCAGAAAAAATAGCATTCGCACATGCAGAATTGTAAATGAAGTAAAGTAGCCTAAAGTTTGGGTTATCTCTCACGTTTGTGACAGTTACAGAGCTGATAACTGTTCCTTTTGGTGAAACCAATCATACAATCATACAGATTTTTTTATTACAAGGTGTCAGTGTGGATTCTTCCAATCAATGTGGAGGGAGGAAGAAAACATCTTTTGCCAAGAAGTAGATGTCGTCAAAAATAAAAATTTGGAGGATGTTACAGTGGAATAGTTTCAGGAAGAAGCCAGATGTATTGTCCAGCATCCAGGGTTAGGGGAAACTGGTGAAGGCTGACATCGTCTGCATTTGTTTTGTTAAAAAACATCGCTACACAGCGCTTCACTGGTTTTCGTTTTCTTTGTTCTACATCCTGTCGTTTTCAGTCCATATCGTAAATTTCAACACGGCTAAGAGTGGTACAGGTTTGGATAACTTGAGCGTGAATATATATATAAAAATTTTTTTTTTTTTTGGTTGTTTTTCTTTTTCAAGTTCAGGTCGTAATTTGAGAAACATTACGTGCTTGTTATTTCCGTAGTGCTTTTTACCAAAGCACTACGTTTTAAACGGTGGGTGCGAGGTAGTCCCTTGACGTGTGCTATAGTGGTTTACTCTCTCAGGTTGTCGGCTTGTTTTATTTACGATAAACGAGCGCGAGTAATTTATTGTTTTATTGTTCACTCTGCTGACATTGATACATTTTTGAAACAAGTAACCTTTCGGACAGGATTGATTTCATCATGTTTCCGGTCGCAAATGAGAAACAACGCTTGAGTGTGGCGCTCATAACAAAGCGCTTCTTGTAACATTCTTTTATACCATGTTTCTGTTAATATTCACTTCCATTGGAAGTTAATTAAACTTAGGCACACGAATGTGCTATATATGCAGCTCAATGTTAGCTTTAATCATTCCTGGAGAACTCTCAGCTAGAAACGAAATTCATCGAAGGAAATAAACAAAAAGTTACAACAGAAGTCTTCCGAGTCTCCGTTAAAAAAATAAAAAAGGATAAATCTTGTACATTTCGGGAACGTGAAAGAGTTTCGTTCACGAAACCAGATGACGACCTCCCATAATACGCGACAACACTTTGCGTTAGTCACGCTCACTCCAGAACCGATGGGCCTGAAGTCACAGTGATATACACCGGACAAAATCTAAAGACAAATGCTTTTCGGCTTGGACTAAAAAACATTTCTTTTAGTACAGGACTCGATAATGGTAAGAGGAAAAAATCTATTTTTTTGCAGCTGTTTGGAATGGCGTGCAAATTACCTGTGGCTCTGAATACAGACATGCGATCCGTCGCGTTTCGATTTTTCAGCCTTCGTTATTTTATTTCTCTCTTCGTATTTCGTAGTCTCTAAATGGTGGCCTATACCAGAGTGGAACAAATCCTATTTTTTTCCGCTCGTAAATTTCGATAGCAGCTGAACAGCCTGGGCGAAGTTGTTACTTTCAGGTCTTGACAAGACGCCTTTTAATGCCTTACACACGTGTGACGTCTCACATCACGTGACCTGAATCGAACTGTTCTCAAAATGGCTGTCGATTAAGCCTCAAAAGAAATTCGTAAAAAATTTGATTTTGCACATTATATCGTTAATTTGCTCATTTAGGATTCTTTAACCCAAGAGGAATGTATTAGGACAAAAAAAAAGAAAAGAAGAAAAATTTGGCGTCAGTTACCCTTTAAGTTAAATGTGGAGAAACCCAATAATTTGTCACCCGTTCATGAAATGTTTGCAAATAGTGTAGTTCTGCTCATTTTTCAACATTTCAAGACATCTATTAATGATAAATAACAATGTGAACAACAAGGTCGAAGAACAAAAGCAATTTTAGTTCAAGTTACCTTGAAAGACAGAATGATAGTGCCAGCAAAAACAAGAACGGTGGAGAGTAGAGATGCCACTATAACCTGCTTGCTGATTGGGGTTTCGCGTTGCCACAAAAATTTGTAGACTTCCTGCCATAGTAACGATAAGCCAGATACACTGCACATTAGTAACACGATTGAATCAGGGCTCACTGGTAGAACTGTCACCATCACCACAGCAATGTAGCACAAGCAGCATGCTTCTAAAAATCCACCAATCAAAGTCTGCCGTGTAAAGAAAAAATTATAGCATCCTAAGTTTTGAATGTGGAGATACAAATAAGAGATGATGATAATTGCTGCACCGAGTGCTATTTGTATGCGTGTCACTTGCTGTTATGTACTTAAGACCACATAGAGCCAAAGATATCTGATTGGGAACCAGTATATCCGGAAAAATTGTGAGCGTTCGAAAAAATCGAGAAGACGAGATCAACGTTGTGTGACGTTGATTCGGCATTGCATCGGAAAAGGTGTCTATTTGAAATTTAATGGCCCAAGTCTCGTGTTACGTTCGCAGGAACTCCACCGACATAAAACAGATACGATGATAATATTTACTCTCAAGTGGCCAAAAAATATTTGACATCTCTCAAGCGGCCAATTAACAAATCGACAGTGGTTAAGCGTGGTCTGTACTCTTCTTGACAACGATAGTCGTCATCGCAGAGCTTAAAATGTTATGGAAGCAGCCGGATGAGTCCGTAACAAATTTTGAGCACTGCAATAATGACGAATATCGTTGTTGATAAGAGTACAGACCACGCTAAACCACTGTCGATCGTAACACATTGATGCGAGCAGTGTTGTCTGTACACTTATCAAAAACGGCAAACTGGCCAATCAGATTGTGATAACAATGCCTATTGTGGTAAAAAGATTGACAGACGAATCGTCAGTAAATAGTGATTATCTGATATCACGTAACGCAAAGAGGGAGGGCTGGGGCGAGAGAAATTTATTCAATTCCTAATGGCCAGTCAAAAATGCCATTGAATTAAAATGAAAGTCTTTGGGTTAATTATGGAAGCAGTGATATCGTTTTTGCAAATAATTTCCAGTTCCAAACACCTGCTACCACTGGTTAATTTCCTTTGACCCATAATTTTTTTAATCGACCATACATCTCAACAAAGCAGGAAATATTGCCATTGAATCCCTTCGATCCGAAATTATACACGGGTTTAGTTTAACAGACAATTCCTCAATATATTGAATCTTGAGTTCAGTCACCGAGAACTTGAGTATTTCATTTTTAATTTGACCCTTCATAGCATGAGAGCTAAAAGTCTCCGCATCATTTTTGTCAGTTCAACATAGCGCGAAAAGTCTGTCTATGAAATTAGAACTGCCATCGAAGGAAAATGATTTTTTGTTTGTTTTTACGACGTTACAATGAAAATCAGAGAATTACTTACCGAATAAGAAAGAAGTATAGACGATGTTAGCTTGTGAGAATTCAACCTTACGTTTTAAACCGGCAACAAGTACATTTAGTGGAATATACTTGTAATCGTTTCGCACTGCTTTTCTGTTTATGTGTCAGGAGCTCGCACATAAACAGACACAAGCAAACACAATTCTTTTCCTGGAAAGTAAAGAATATCCGACCCTTTTAGAAACAGGAAGAGAAATTTTTGTTTGTAGTAAGCATGTAAGACTAACTGGTACTAGCAAATCAGCGCTTTCACGAAGCCATTATCAAGATAATGTATAATACCCATTAGTGAAAGGACGTAGTAGAGTTGATTGAGTTAACATAAGGCATAACACAAGAACGGACGCAGTTTTCACGCGTAAATACGCGACTGTCTGGCGAATAAAAGTATTTCTCTAATTAGGCGGTCAAACCTGTTCTTAAAATTCCCCATTGTTATTTAACTTAGAACATTTTGAGCCATTTTGTTCATTCTCGTAGCGTTTACAGATCGTGGACGCCTTTCTTTTGTGTCCATTGACGCACTCATGCGAAATAACACTGGCTATAAAATTATTTTCTGCTATTTTGAAAGAGCATGAGTGAAAAGCCTAAATTGCAATCACAGCTCTGTAGCCACGTGACGCTGTTGTATCAATAGTGATTTCCATCGACAACATCTCTCATTTACTTTCGTGATGAGGTAGAGACGAAGAGAAGCCTTTCTTCCAGAAATTGCGAAATATTTACTGTTACTGATAAAGATTTAAAGGCGTCTAAAAATAAAATGATTTCCTCCTGCAGTAACTCTCACCACAGGGACATAGAGAAAAATTTTAAATAAACGCAGCAAAATGAAACACAAACATTAAACACACAAGTGACCTTAACGGTATCGCATCACTGAGTACTCCAACCTCTAGTATTCTTGGTCCTCTGTCTAATTGAATGATAGATTTAATTCACTCGCCAATTTGATAAATTTCATTTAGGAAACACGGAAGAAGTAAGCAATCAAACCGGAGACTAAAGTGAAAACAACAAACATGAAAAAAGATATGCAGAAGACATGAATACGTATTTCAACCCTAGGCAATTTCAAATTTTTTGCGTGGTTTTGGAAGGTTGTGGGTCAGTCTTAGTATTCACTGCTAATTCACTTTACACATCTGATTTAGGAGGAGAAATCGCGCTGTATTGGCAGGTCTCATTGGCCGTACGACACATTTGACCAAATTGCCTTAGTGCGAAACGTTCGCGTAAAACTGGAAATGCTCAAAAATGATGTCAGACCGAGTTCATTCAGCTTGTAAAAAATCTTCCCTTAGCTGGGCATAATTTCAATTTTAAAATTTCCTTATTTAAAACGCAAACATTAAAGAGATTCATTTTAGCAATGACTAAGTATGAAGATCTGATACTTACAAATATGGATGCTTGCTTCGAAGGCCACGGTCGATCTTTCTCCAACAAACTTGTCCAACATGTAATTATAAAACAAACAGCTTCTGGGATCATTAAAACCAAAACGAGCATCAAAAACAGAGCCTGTTTATTTGTCTCTGACGAATATTTGGTTGTGGAATTCGTTGTAGTTTCATCGATACTTTTAAACTGCTGCCCTAGAACTAGCAAACAAATCTTGCTTGTCACAACACACGATAAGACAGCCCCATAGATTATAAATGCCGTTACCCATTTCGCGACGCGAATGACTACCTCGTTTTTAAAGTCTCTGCTCTTATTTGTTTGACGCGGTTTACGACGACCTTTTACTGAGTATTTCATTCTCATCCCTTTCTGCTAATACAGGGTCATGAAAAACATGTCGTGAGAGTCTGGCTTCTTTTTCCGTTGCTTAAAGAGACGCCTATTTATTATCCTTTTTTAGTATCAAATGACAGTAATGACTTGGCCTATCAATTATTTCACTGTTGCTAAGAGAGATGGCAGTTCCATTATGTTAGCGTCAAATTATCTAAAATTGTCTTCTTAATTTCAGTAAACATAGCAACAGCTTAAACTACAGAGCACTTCCTCGTTTCTCGTATTGCTTGGGGTGTTGACAGATTTTTGTTATAGCCCTATGATAACTTTAACCCAGGAGAGATCTACGTTTTATCCTAAACTTTTAAGGCAACTTATTTTATTTAGGTAATCTTTTCGTTCCTTGTTCAAAAGAGACGCTAATGCGTATTTGGAACGATAAAAATTTTGACAGAAAATCGGTGAAAACCCGGCCTTGTAAGTCACGCGTGTCTGAAGTTTGCGTCACAGATAAAAATTCCCTGTTCATCCAATTGACCTTGGTATGTGGTTTTGTCACGATTAATAAACTGATACAGGCACATGCGGACTGATCATGCAATCACAGACATTTACGTGAATTCGAACATCCTTCTAGAAAAATCCAAACTTGTGACGTACGTTAACTCTGATTGATTAGATGAAAGAATATGACACCAATGTTAACCCTATGTATATGGTCTGCAGGCGCAAATGGTTGTTTTATGAAATAACTGTCTCCAGCTTCTCTCCTTACAATCCCAATAGCTCCCAAGTCAAATCAAAGGCCTCTTGGAACCAGCTCATTGATGTTATGGCTTAAGTTTATATCGATTTCTTGGACTTGTTGAATATAGGTGCAGTTGAATTCGGTTTATGTGAACTTTCAAGACTTATGGAATAAATTCTCTCTCATTTTTAGGCAGTTGTGTGATAAGAAAACTTGTGCGTTCGTCGTGATGAGAATTGGAAAAAAGGTTGTGTAGGCTGAAGGTAGGATGGGCAGAGGTCATTAGCCTAATATTAGGCAGACATGTCGTTTTTGTTGGTGTTTGTGGGGCGGAGGGTGGGCTGGGTGGATAATCAGGCATCAAATATTGTACTATCCGCAAAATATTAGTAACCCTCATCTTTCACGATCATTTGCACCATTTTGAAGTATTCTTTTCCCGTTTCTTGATATCTTTTGTTTTTAACAAAGCGGCCATTGTATCTGGTTTCTAACAAAGCGGCCACAATCGTTCTTAATAGAATCTCAAGCCTTGATATGGTCTGATTTCCTCATATTAATATTTGCGTAGTCACCAAACAGATGAGAGATAAAATCACCAGAAAAGTAAACAAATGGCCGGTCACGAAAGCTACGCTTTGCTTTTCTCTTTGAAAATTCGCTAGTTCCTCATTTACTAAGCCAATAATAATATACGAGGCAAATATGGAAAAATCAGTGAGTGTACAGCCCTGAACGTTGAAAATATATTAAGTCGAAGGAACAGTTTTGGTCTCGGTCCGCATTTTTGTGAACAAAATGATCACATATCGGTTAAAACCAGGCGGTGTGCGCACTCCGATTGCGTTGCATTGTGGTAGCTTCATTTTCAATATGGCGGTGAAAGCAGCAGAATTCGGTAGATTTTGACTGAACATTCCGCAACAGTTAGACCGTTCCTTTTTCCTTTCACCATAGTTAAATGTAATTTGATTTATTCTGAATGTGTAAAGGTATTTTTTGTTTGTATTTGTCGCGTATTCTATGGTTCTCAAGGAATAACGCCATCACTGTTTTTTTGTATGTAATTTGAGACCGGATTTCAAGAAGGTAAAATTTGATGTACGTCTTAGTTTGGAGCCTTTTAAAGATTTGGATGGCTGCTTTGATCCTTCTTTGACAGCTCTCAAACGCTCTCCAACGGTACATGTGTTTCTCGCATTTTAAGTGCGGGTGTTTGAGACCGATTATGGCCGAGAAAAGGCTTATTGTTGCGTTACACGGCGTTACTATTATATACTCAATTGTGTTGTAAATCTACTTTCCTAAGTAAAAGGAAATTAACTTATCGCGAGTGTTGTATGGTAAATCTACTATCTTGATCACTGAATGAAGGACAGTTGAATTTGAGCTATAAACGGAATCACTTGACTAATGAATAACTCTACAATGCGCACGGCGACACCGGGTAAGCCGGAAAGCAAAAGGTAGTCGATGGTTAAAAGGGTGTTGATTGCTTGAGCGACTCCTGCCATTCGCTTGCGCTTTTAAATCTTCAAACCTGAAAGCTTAGTTGTTATGAGGATATCCTTTAATGACTTCCGTTTGCGATGTGATATTAAGGGTTAGTTTTAAGGTGTCATTTCCCCATCTGTATGTTCTCGAGGTTTGGCAAAGCCAAATGAGATTGTGTTACAAAAGGTGATATTTTCATGTGTGCGCGCTATTTTTTTTTTTTTAAGTATCAGTCTCTCCCGCAGAAAGTAACTCCAGAGATGCGTTTTTCAAAACCTTACTCTAGGTATTCTCTATTCTTTGAGCATATTTGAAACTCTGTACGTTTTTTGATAAGCGTTGAGCGTGACGAGTTTGGTGTTAGGAGGCGTAAAGCTTCTCCTTCCGCCAATCCCGTATTCACGCCTTTAAGTGTATGACGTGGAAAATAGTTCGTGTATTAGAAGGTCGCTGTCTCTTTGGAATGCGTTTGCATGTCAAGAGACGATTCCTAGTTAAATAACTCGCCACTTTGATATTATTCACACAGCCATCGGCTGTGTGTGAAACTGCTGCCAAATGCATAGATTCTCGGGTAAGACTGCAGTTTCGATTCTTTCTGAATCTCTTCAATGGCCTCCTAACTACGAATTTGTCACGGAGGAAAAACAGGAGTCGCACAGGCCCGCAAACACTTTTTAACTTTCGAAGGAATGGCAACAGACAGTGAATTTCCATTAAATTCCACGTGCTCCAATTCTTGCTGCTACCAGAGATTTTCACTCGACCACGACAGGATGCAAATGACTTATTTTTCGTTTTACGACCATGATGCAACGCAATCAGAGTGCGCACACCGACTGGGTTAAAACGATGAAAAGTACGAACCAAGTTTAAGTTCGGGCACGACTCAGAGTCATTTTTGCCCGAGCCATAAGGTGGGAATGAAAATGAGCTGTGTGGAGGTCCCAAAACATATTTATACCCAAGAACATAAACTTTATTACTTTAATTATCACTCTGAAGGGTATTGAGGACATCTGAACAAAATGACAACTAAACAGTCTGAACGATCGTGCAAGCTCATACATGTTAAATGGTTTTCATTTTTCTTCAAAGAAAATTCATCATCAAGAGAAGCTGGTGGGAAATTACGAATCTCGACGTCTGACTTTTTAAGGCGTATGAAAGAAAAATTCAAAAAAACTATTGTAAAATTGCTGAACTGACAGTTCGGAATAATCATTGAACGTTTGGCGCCGCAAAACTCACATTCACTTTGCCACCGGCCACAGAGGTTCTACTGGCGTTATCTACGGAAGCTTCTCTCGAGAGAAAGTGCTTTATCATATGGTCGTTAGATTTTCAATTTCTAATGGTTTAGTTCAGCTCGTAAAATTCTACATTTTAGTCCATAAAATGCACCACAATGTCTGACGAAGTGGTAATACTACCTTCAATAGTTTCTTTAAGCTACATTGACAATAATATTAGATAAAAGACGTCTTTGAATCCTGTTCATCCGAGGTACAGGATAAAAGTAATGATCGAGTCCAAATGGGACATTTATAACACTTCTCATGATAATATTTTATTTATACAGGGCGATTTCCACTGATGTTCAATCGCGCTTTGCGATGTAAATTATATAAATCTAATTAAAAGAAAATAAACAAGGACAATTTTAATTTACAAGGATGATGCCTGAAAGGTTAAATATATAACAGGTAAAACGTGTGAATGAAGTGAAATATTAAGCTTCTCTAGACAGATAAGTCAGAACTTTCTCCCAAGAATATTAATATCATCAAACTTAAACTGTGAAAAGGTTTATTAGGTAAATGAGATAAATGAAGTAAAAAATATCTGATTTTATAAAAACTTTTTTTTTTAAATTAAATCTTGACTTTTTTCTTGAAAACATCCAGATCGTCACAAGGTCTTACGTCAAGTTGTGGGGTACGTCTTGATGCACAGAAGGGCTAAAAATTGGGGTAACCAGAATAAATCCATAAACGATCAGAAAACCTAGATCGATGACATTTAGGCCTAAAAACCTTAAGATCTTTATGCTGAACCAGTATCAAAATAGACATCATTAACAATGTAAAATAATCTAATGATTTAAGGACAATGTTCAACCTACCTCACAATATGTGAGTTAGATTACAAATGGAGTAAATTATCATCAACAGAAAGCGAGATGGAAATTAAAATAGGTTTAAAAAAATCCATAGGACATGAATTTTCTTGGACGTAGGATTGCAGCGATGAAAAAGATCCCTATTAATCCAGCTTAGTAAAGGATGCTCACTCCAGCAGAAAGATAGTGCTCGAAAGGCTTTGCTGGTGGTAATGAAGTCATGTTTGTCTGCAGTATCGTTCCCGAATTGTTATTTTAAATAAAATCCCCTTGTGAGTGAGTAATCACGAAACAGGCATAACGTTTGCATAAATCTGTACCACTGTCCACATTTAGCTGCCGTGATAGTGCCACTGTTGCTATGCAGGGCCTGAAGTGGCAACTGAGAGCGGAAATTGCCTAACGCGATTCCTTGTCGTCTAACCTGTGCTCTGTTGTTCATCTGGTCTTGCTGCTCTGGACGACTTACGTCCGCCTTTATGGCTTCTTTTTCGGCACTTATTGCTTGCTCTACGATGTTAAGGAACGGGCCGTATGGTGGTAGTTTTTTAGGCTCAGAATCTGGACCAGTAATGGCAGGATTGTTGTAGGCTAGTGCGCCTTCATAAATTAAAATCACATGTTCGTTTGGGTCGAGATTTACTATTGTCTGTGACAGAAAATCATTAAATTTATTTCTATTCTTTCCACCAAGAAATGCCGAGTGAAAAACTAATCCATTGGTGGGTAAAATTGCCAGTGCCACAATAACATTTCTCCCTCGTTGACCACATACTTGTCGATATGCCCTCTCTTCCATCCCTGCTCGTCCGTGACTACTTGTTGTCCAAATATTGTACCCACACTCGTCTACAAATATATTATGATTCACTACAGTATGGCGCATGAACCAGTTGGCATAGTCAACTATTTCTTGCACGACATCAGGGCGTCGGGTTTCGTTCACCTGGGAGTTGCCCTGCCAATTTTACATCGTTACATGTGTTATTGCTACGGTGCAGTGATGGATTGTCGGTTTTCTTGGAAGACGCTGTTCAGTTCTTGATTTATCTGTACTAGTATTAGCAAGCAATTTTCTTTTAAAATTTCATTCAGGTAATTCCTCATTTCATCATCGACTCGAACATGATTTGCTCCTCCTCGTGGTCTCTCCGTGATCCTACCCTCTCGCAAGTATCGTGCAACGATACTTCTTGCCGTTGATCGATTCATTCCCATTGTAGCGGCAACAGTGAAATAATCTTCATTGATATTTTCGAAGGCTTACATAATTCCTTGTCCTGTTCAAGTAAGATTCTGTTCCTTGGTGGCATGATTTTCTTGGGTTCTTTCTGTCTTCAGTGCATCCACTAGTTCATAAAGCGTACTCTGTTACATGTAAAATGTTCTTCATTTTATGGCTGCTTCAGAAAAATATTGTGCAAAAAATTACATAAAATTTATATGATAATGAATATACTCTTGTATTTGTGTTCAGTATTTTAAAATACATGTAACTACAATGAATGACACTAAAGAATAATTTTTCTTCTTATTGTTCATTTGAAAAATACCAACGTTTCTCAGGTCACTTTAATGATTGTAGGAAGGTGCATTTGATTGTGCGTCTCTATACAAATTGTATTATTGTATGTCTCTAATACGCCATTGATTGTCACACTATGCAATTGATTTTCTATTCCTGTTATGATTAACCATTGCGCGAGATTGAAAGTATATTTGTTATGTTTGATTGTCCAAAGGTGCAATTGTTCATCCGTTAATGCTAATGAGAGTTAACAGATATGCAAATATCGTTATTGGAAGTTCGTTATTGAGTTAATGAAGTTCATGCAAATGTTCAAATGTTGACTTAAATAAATTTATATTTTGCGTAAATGAACAGTAGAAAAAAGAAAAAGTCGTAATAACTCGTCCGAAAGTTCCAGTTTCATAAAGTCTTATTTCAGTCAGAACTTGATGCACTGGCGTCAGTGGAAGCCTCCCTTTGGACTGATTAATACAGTAAGCGGCGTGTAAGTATTATTAAAGCATTGAGCATAATACCGGCATGATGGCTAAACTTCTTAAAAAGAACTCTCTTGATATTACATTTCTAAAGACTTGGTGCATAGTTTTGGCCCAATGCCATGTTTCAGGGGGGACGCTCAAAGAACCTTACGCGAGGAAACATGTTTTGATATTGGTGAAGAATTCGGATAAATGAAAAGAGAGTAAACTTCCAAGGTATATGCGAGAAATCAGCCCAAGAACAGATATCATAATCCTCTCTACGGCTTTCGCATTTCTCATTTGCGTGCTTGAGGAATCTTTTGTTTTCGTCACATGATTTAGCCTTTGTAGCGCAGGTGGACTGGGAAGAGGAACGCGGAACACTATGTTTATAAGTGCGAGATCACCATAATTAGTCAGCGGTTATTACCTCCTTTTATCGGACAATTTGTTATTCAATATGTCGTGTGTTTTCCGTAGTTAAAGCGGGGAAAATATCGATAACGCCACTCTGATGAAGCTTTTACCAGTAAATAAACTTATGGTTAACTGAAATCAAGAGATCGGTGAGGCAATCCTCAGCCGTGGACATTATTAGCCGTCCTTCCACTCGCCAGCACTTTTGAGTCACACCTTCCAAATAATTTCTGGCTGCTAAGTAAGGCCGTTACTCTTGTCAGAAGAAACGCAAAGGAGATCAAAACAATTTTTCGCAATTTTGATTCTGCTCGCAAAAGAAAGCAAAAACATTATCAGCGTTGGGCTGATACCACAAGACCCGACAGTATAGTCTTCCGCGAATAAGCGTGTGCTCTATGTTGAATCAGTAATTGATATTTACTGTTCAGGATCTTATATTGTATTCTCTCCTAGTATGCTACATTTTAAGGGTATGATATCACTCTCTCTACTTAGGAGAGGGGTGGGAGGGTGGTTAGAGTTGGTGGTATTATTGGTTCTGATGTAGTGCGTGAACGTCAGAGCCTGATATTTGTAATTGCGTAAGTCTTGCGCGAAAACTTGGGGCTTTGTGTGTGATAAGTTTTGTTCTCAGTGTTTATTTTCGGGATCCGATAAAGTAGTCTTTTTACATCTTAAAGCATGTTATATACATTTTCAATGTATATATTTTTGTGCCATGGGTTTACTGTATTGTGGGAAAAATTAATGCTGGAGCATGGGGTTTAATATGTTTTGTAGAGTTGTTTGAGGCCGATATTACTATCTCTTTCGAAACACATGAAAAAGCACAAGTTAGTGAGATGTTCTAGAAGGATGGAATGGCCTTGTGGAATTGACCTTTTGCGGCCTGAGAAAATACTCTAAACTAAGCGCTATAGACTGCATAGTCGTGGGATACAATGCAGTCCTCTTGTCAGCACGAGAGGGTTGTTGCGTAAAAAATATTAATTATTAATTAGGTAAAATAACATTTGAAGTAACAAATGCCAGAGCGTGCGACAAATTTCATTGTTATGTGAGCAAAGTACGCAGGATTTAACTGGTTTCCACGCCTGTAACCCCCTAAATTAGGGAAGAAAAAGTGATGTTGTAAAACAGGAAATAAATTTGGGAACATAACGATAGAATGGGGCCAGGATTTTACGATACTTGTGATTGTGGGGAAAGTTCTTGTTACGCACGGTGAACTGTGTTAGGACAGAACTGCTTGAGAACTTTGGAGTGCTAAAATTGAGATCATCGAAAAAAAGCCTGGAAAACGTTGACAAAATGTCGTCCTTTTGCGATCCGTTGACCAACAACTGCGGGATCAGTAAAGATTCGGTGACTATGTCAGGAAAAATCCCGCAATCACTTTTGCAGAACATCGGGCTGATTATTTAAATGAAGTTTAGCCGTTGTTTAACAACTTCGCGTTTGAGACAACCCTTAATTTAGCTGAATCTTTCATCTGATGATTCATGTTCATATCGGAGTGGAAAGCATGCTGGGACCTCATGCTTTCACGAGTCGCCATGTCGATTAAACATGTTATGTTACGTTGATTCATTGAGAGTTTCTCTTCTGATACTACAAGAGTCTAGAGGGCCAAAAGCAACCCTCTAATAGAGAATACTTACGTAAGACTCACTGCCTGCCAAAAACCGCGGTTTAGGTTAGACCTCGTGCAAATGACCGACCTATTTAGTTCCTCTGAGACCTTAGCGTAGCCATTTTCCTTTCCTAATCAAAACATCTACTTTATGAAATAATGATACAATAAGACACAAGTTTTGCGGACAAGATGTACGAGAAGTGTTACTGAACTGAACTAGATTTGATTTCACCTTGGACTGAATGAAATGTTTATCAAAGAAAAGCAATGTAACAATTATGCAAAGATCATCACAATAAAACCTTAAACTACCATTTATTAAAAATGAAACAGCTTTTCAAAATAATCTATTTATAAGGCATGGTTAAAGGTATTGCTTGCAATGTTTAAAAAAGGAAACATATGAAAAATATTAATAACAACTGCATTAGGTTCTGTCTATAGCCACGAAGTTCAACACAACTAAGAAAACTGCATCTTTTCATTCTAATACAGCAAAGCCATTAAAGCACATGCGATAAGAGCAGCGACGCTGACTTTCTGAAGTGTGGCAGCATTACAAAAATCACCAGAGCAACAATCCAGTTTACATTTTACTTTGCCTTTGCAGCGTGAAATCAGGTCAATGTTGCAACCTTTTTCAGTCGTACAGTATTTGGAATATTCTTGAAAGGATGTACCTTCTACGTGTACAGATAATTTGGCGCAGCGATCGTATCTGGCTGGACAATGCTTTTCTACCTTGAAGTCGTTGCAGTTATCCCTTGAACATGAGTAACACTTCAAGCCGTAACCTGAGGTAGAAAAAAAATGTTTTTTATTCCTTGGCAGCTCTTCAGATCTGGTTTCAGTTGTGAAATTGTTTCGAAAGTTATATTGAAATAGCTACATGCTATTCACTTTGAATCATACAGATTTTCAGATCTTTTCAAGAGAAAACAATGGGACACGTGATCCTGTCTTAAGGTTGAGACGAATCTTCATAGAACTACCTCTTTAAAACAAAGGAGAACAAAAGACTTAGCTATCTAAAATTTTCCCTCATTGGGTAGCACTGTAGTTTTTCGTCCTTCCATCTTCAACAAGATGGGTTGTGGCGACGACAGTGCGACACAATCGGGACGAAAAATAACCACTAGAAAGTGAATGGTTTTAGCTTAAGCATCATCATCATCTTGTCTGAAACATTGGCGCTGTTAGCGTATTTCGAAACATCTTTTGTGATGTACGCCTATAACGAAATTTGTAATCAATACAAAAATTAACAGTGGCTTCTTTAAACATATGTTCAAATAAAACGGAAAACAAAGAATTCTGTGGCTATTGCTGCAGAATGTCATCGACACAATGCTGCTGAAAAAAAAAATTGAAGAATTCACAAAGAAGCACTTTGTTGCGCATTTTTTTATTCCAAATCTTAAATTAGTCAATTAAAATGCTTTCCCATGGCGAGCAAAACATAATTGACGAGCTTGGACTCAAAATAACCTTGGAATACGTCATTTTGATCTTCAATGAGTCATGAACTGAATTCCATATGCTTTTAAAGATTTTCTTTGCCTGGCTCGATGTAAACTAACTCGGTTGCTTTACAGGATTTTAAGTGTAAATGTGTACATTCCTTAAATAATCGCGCCCAGTCCCTCAATTTCCTTTATGCAGAGTAACATACACTAATTGAATCGGTGAATTCCGAACAAAACTAGGTTATGAAGGAGAATTGAAGATATACAATGACTACTACTACCGTGCACCAAGAGCCGAGCGAGTGCATCTTACTCAAGCTTTGCATCTATGACTTTGGCAATGGTAAAATTGGTCCTTAAAAAAAAGTATGGGTTGCGCTTAGACTTACCAACAGAAATGTAGAGGAAAAAGGTGACAACGAAAAGCAACTTCATTTTACAACTTGAATGCCTCTCCTCTCTTCCCGTCTGGGACGCCAAATAATAGTTTGAGTACTGAAGTCGGACGTCTTATGTCGAAGTTAAAAGACTAACCTTTACTTTTCCTAACAGAATTAAGTTTAGATCCAACCAATCATAGGGTTTGATTTGATTATCTGTCAGGATTTGAAACCAATCACATTTCATGGGCGGGCTTGTAATCGTTTGAGTGATGCACATCTTTCTTCCTAGAAATTCCCGAGAATTCAGGAAGTTGATTTTCTGTCACGAGCAATAGCTTAATAAGTGTGATGGTATATAACTTTCAAGCTTTCGTCGGCCACTTCGATCCAGTCTTGAAGTCTTGCTTTAGGCTCTTAGTCACAAAATGGATATTAAATAAAAGGTGCCAGTTATTTTTGTGGGCAAAAAAATGGGAAAGTGCACTTGATCTGCCCATAGTTGCCCGCCATTATGGCGGATCGAACGTCATCTTTTGAATTCAACTCGAGTCCTACCTTAAAGATTTCTCAAAATCTCGTGATATCCACGAAACGATCTTCCCTTCCTCTTGACATTTATTTTAAAAAATTTATGGTAAATATCTGGTTTTAACAACATATGATCCCAACGTTGGTCGCTGAAGCTGTCTGAAACCGTCAAACATCCCAACTTGGTAATGTAATATCTCCAGTGTTACCTCGATCCAGGAGTTACCATTTACCATGAACAACGTTTGTTCATAGATGTACAGATTTCAAAAAATAACAGAAAAACGGATGAAATGAAATGGTCAAGGAAAAAATTTATCAAACCGTGATGACCTGCCTATGTTTGGTACCGGTCCTAAAAGCTCTTAAATCAATTCACCGATCAGAAGATAACGGTTAAAGTACCTTTATCGTTCAGAGAGATTCCTAATACTATGGAAATATATTTTGATCTAATATAAACATAATTATTTTCAAGCAAAATAGTTGCAGTGAGATTATTTTTGGTAACCAATTGAATGTAAACAAGCCACGCACAATTTACGCACAGAGTAGTTGCAAAAAGCGGGTTCTGGCGCATTTCGTGTCCTCAAAAAATTTACCTTGATTTCAAGACAGCTCATGAATTTTACCTCAAAAATCAAGGTCGATTTTAACCTTGATTACAAAAACAATTTTTGGCGCATTATGAAAACAACCTTGATTTCAAGGCAACTCATGAATTTTACCTTGATTTCAAAGGAACAGTTCTGACATTTTCAAAACATCCTTGATTTCAAGGCAACTTGAATTTTCCACAATGTCTCACTCGCGAGTTCTGAAGAAAGCGTGAAAATTATTCTCTGAAACCATTTTCTTGTCACTCCATCGGGTTGTTACAGGTGTACCTGTTCTTTATAAGAAGCGTCTTTGATACATGTTAAGTTATTTCAAACTTGAAAGAGTAAGTTTCAAAAAAAGACCGAAAGAAATTTCAGGAAATTATATGTCACAATTATTTAAGTTGACCGATTATTCACAGGCGCGCGCTTATTTTCGATAAAACGTTTTTGAAACAAAATTCACCTGTATTCTTGATTTTACAAAAGTCCACGCTAAGACGTCAGAGTTGTTATGAAAACTTTTAAATATTAATTTCACAAAATCGTTTACCAATGAAAACTTGTCTGTTGCATCAGACACTTTCGATCCTTGAATAAGGTATCTGTGTAGTGGGTTACAAGAATTTCATTTTCTATCAAACATTTGCCTCTTTCAAAGCTTGAACTGTCCCAAAAACAACTCCACGAATTTCTCCGTCGTTACACAACTGAAATATAAATATTCTCCGCCGTTACACAACTGAAAGAAAATTATTCTCGAGCTTCAACAAAACACTGACCCCCTACTGACAGCCCAACGACCCTCTCTAAAACTCACTGGAAAAATAGGGCAGACTTAAACGTAATTAAAGAAGAAACGACATTTACATAGGCTCAAGTGTTCGTTCTCTTTTCCCATGAACGAGAGGCAAATGTAAAACGGTAACGCAACGAGTATCTATTTTGTATCCGCTTCCGTGTGAAAATGAAAAACAAAGGAAAAATATGTCACGCGGTAAACACGATACACCCACATTCGGACAACCGGAAGTCGTCATGTCTGTACCTTAGTAATTCCAGGTCCCACGTCCTTTTACTGCTTGCGCGTGGGCTTTGACATAGCAGGCTTATCAGGTATGATGTGTCGTTTTTTCTGCCAATCCTACCCCCTTTGACATAAATTTATCTTTCATTTTTCGCTTTACTTCATGACTGATTGTATGTTTATTGAATTCTTGGAAGACGATTCTGATCTGGACAGTTTGAACTGCATTGTTGAAGAGAGGTATGTCGATTCATATTTGACAGATTTGATTACCCGGAGTGTTTTTACTTGCGGAAATTTTCTCTTCGGTTGCTTCTTACCTGGGGCTATACCTACACTTAAGGAAACTGCAGTTGATTGGCGTTAAAATACAATAACATAACCTACAAGTGAAAAAATGTTCGGGTGACAAGCAACAAAAACATTAGCGATCCCTTCGAGAACACATTTTTTTTTCATTGCGTATACGTTTTGTGCACAGCAAGGAAAGAAGACCTTATATAACAGTAATTTTGCGAGAATGATGATTTTGGTAAAGCAGCTCTCATAAAAGCCAACTATATTTTCATGAAAAAGCTATGTGGTGCTTATTAAATATTTCTTCACACAACTGCTCAATTGTAAATAACTCTGTACTACGTTATCGTTCTCTTTTTTGTTATTGTTTTTAAAAAAAAGGAGACAATTAACAATTTTTAAACAACTACGTAACGAGAGTTAGTTTTTGTATTGTCCCTTCAAGATCCGCATCCATAACAATAACAGTTGTGAGTAGTAATGTAAAAAATAGTATAATCATATTTCTACTCCATGCCATAAATTACGGGGGAAATTCGTTGCAACGATTTCTGGAATCGCCTGAGTGAACAAGAAGCGCGGGATCATTTTCCCCAACAGCACCAGAAAATCGAGCCTATGCCATCCCCTTCTGAATTTAAAAAGGCCTGTTTTCTGAGTTTCCATTGTTGTTATTTTCTCCCTAGCAATACATATGGAGAACGTTGGGATCAAGAAGAGGTGTTGACCATACAGAGATCTACTGATTTCTGTTTTGCTCTTTTAAGATTGCCTTGTACATAATTTCTTTATTTGCGGTAAACAATGTCTACATCAACCAAATCTGATTTACTATGTAAGTTTTTTAGAACTTATGCGCCCAAGAATCAACAATTAATATTTCCTTCGATATGCAACTGAAAAATTGAATATTAACAATCCGTTTACTAAACACTCCAAATGACCCTCGCTGGTAAAACTGTTGTTTACTCGGGTAATGATGTTTATCTTCTACAAGGAAAATAAACGATCAAACTTCAGTTAAAACTAATACTTTTAGATGTATAATTGCTTTGACACACGTTTTTTTAAAAAGTTTTCCTTCCTTTGAATATAACTCTTTGAAAGGTAGCCAAAACCGAACAGGTTGTGTGAAAAATGTGTGAAAAATGTGTGAAAAAACAAGTGTGTGAAAAATGGAAAAACGATGAAGACTAAAAATTAAAATAAAAATGTGCAGCTTATTTTTTCTCTGGAAATTCAGAGATAGATTACTCAATTAACGTTTGAAAACACGTTACTACATTCGCAAATTTACTCTTTTTGGTAGGAATGTACCATCACCGAAGTCAGAGAATCACCTAAAAAGTTCAAAATTGCCGCCCTAAGGTTCTTCAAGAACAACGATAAGTGTAAATTAGTCAAGGTGGACTCACTTGACAACACAGAGGCAGCACCATTCCTAAAGAATGCAAAGGAGGATCGGCCAGATTTAGTGAGTATTGCTGTTCCAATGGGTGTACAGGAAAATGCTTCTTTTATAGTAGATTTAGATTCCCTTCTCAACTATAGAGATTTGTTTTCTGATGACAATGGTTCTTGGAAGATGACAGGTGCCCGGTTAAAGTTTTTCAGAGTACAAAAAGAGGGAGGTCAAGTTGTCAGCATAGGAAAAGTAAAAAGAGAGGGAGAGGCTCAGGAGTCCATTAGAAGACTATCTTGCATCTACAAATCCTGTCCCTTCCGCCACCGAACAATCGTTGCAATCGAGTATGGTAAAGAGATTGACAAGAGGTTTCCGATTGTACTCATAAACTACCGCCCAGAGGGCTCTCCGCAGACATTCAAATCAGATCAACAAGGAAAGCGAAAGGATTCTTCATCTATTCCGTATTTTCGAACAAAGTAAAGCACCAAGTCAAAGCTGGCAAGTAACGTAGGTGATGGAAAAATGGGCGCAAATCACGCCCTGTTCAATATCGTCAGAGACGTCGGTGGTGTTATCGAGATGGACAAAACTAGTGCCTCACAGAGGAATGCCCGTCAAGCGCTGTACGAAAAACAGAAGTCGACAACATGCGATAGCAGCACTGGCACAAAGAAGACGGAAGATGTACTTGCATCTGTGCTTGAGTTACAGAAAGGAGCAATGACTTAATAACTATTGTTCTATTTAATGAGAAGCAAATCAATGACATCATCAAATTTTGTCGCCATCAGCAAGCTGAAATGGTGTCAAAATTTGGCGCGGATATTCCATTTCAGCTGGGACCCTTTTTTTTACTCGTTACTACTTACAAGAACACTATTTTGAGGGCAAACGATCATAACCCGGGCTTTCTTGGGCCCGTAATGATCTGTATGACGAAAGAAGAGCACACGTATCTTTCCTTCATGCATTCTCTTCTTCGCGAGGTACCAGGTTTCAGCCATTATCTACATGACTATGGAACCGACAACGAAGCAGCGCTTGTCAATGCACTAACGGCCGCTTTCCAGAACGCCCACGGTCTGTTGAACTACATAAATATAAAGAAGAATATTTCGTGTAAACTCCAGAAGCTTGATCTGTCAAACACGAAAAGAGAATAAATTTTGCGAGACATCTTTTCAAAGCCTAAGGGTCTGCTCCGGGAAGAGTCCGTAAACTTTATAATCAAAGATTTGGTAAATTTTCTGCCAAGTGACATCCGAAAATGTGCGGGCGGTGCCAAACCTCTGTCAACCCGAGTGGAGGGGTTCTGGAGCGACGACGATGAATTTTTACGATGCGTACTACCACTGGAACAAAGACTCCAAATCTTACCAGCTGTCGAGTGGTTTAAGGCACTAACACTTAAATCCAGTTTGTACACAGATGTTCAGGACTCGAAACAAAACCATTTCTTTGGAAGCCAACATCACACCTACGGATGGTATTTGCAAGATCGCTGCTCAGTGTTTTGGAACCACTCTTTCCTAAAAGACTAATCCTGTTGGAAAAACAAATAAACCTGGCACAACTTTTGTCCCTTATTAGCATACATATAGAGGGCCTCTGCCGG